GAAACGGACAGAAGATAATTGTTATTAGAAAAGTGTCAAGCACAAGAGCAGTAATCTTTTTGAGAAACATTACAAATCTGACATTCTGAAATCAAGTGAATCTTATAGATTTGACGAGAAAAATTCTTTTTCAATTTACTGGTAAAATTTACAATGGAAATATTTTTGAATTTTTCACTTCCGATGAATATTTTCAAAGAGATAGATATGTTAAAACAAATATGAATCTAAGTTTTATATCGATTAAAGTATCCTTATGGATTGCAATATTTTTTATTGATTACTCACTTCAAAATCATGCCAGAAATATACATTAATACATCAATTTGAGACTTATATTTTTTAAACGAATTCTACTTATGAGAAAACATACTTGGATATTTCTGTTGGTAGTGCTATATCTTTTGGTAATCATTAGATGTTGATGTGCCATAAAACAAACTACAAAGAATTTGCTGTCTTAAACTTTCTATCTTGAATTGTTACTATTTTAGTCAATTTTCAGTTTGCAGTAAGCATTTTCAAAGATATTCGAATAATATTTTTAATGTGATAGTTTTCTCATAGACAGGTCTCAGAGTCGCTAGAATGTTCTGAAGGTTTCAGCTCAAACAAATGCTTCTTTTTCGATATAATCAATTGTTTATAAAAGCACGATTTTGTTGAAAATTCGAAAAAGTTGAATTGTCTTGAAAACTCGCTATCTCAAGAAAGAACCATTGGTTTGGATTGAAAACTTCAGAACATTCTAGTGACTCTGAGGCCTACATAAAAGAAAAATATCAGATTAAAAATATGTTATTTGAATTTCTTCGAAGCTTCTTGTCACATATCAAAAGTTTACTAAAATAGTCGTAATTCAAGACGATAGATTGAAAAGAAAGAATCTTCTACAGATTTTTCATACTTATTGAAGTCTATTCATGACCAATAGATGACGTACAAACAATTTCAATGTCTAATTAATTATGTTTACTCATTAGTTACATAGTCTAATTTGCATTTTCAGACATCATTGAATAGTGATTTTGTGAACATTCTCCCTGAAGAACAGAGTTTATCAAATGTGACAAACGCAAGTGTCAATACAGATTACTACAGAATATCAATGTTTCACTAAATTATCCTTCAGCGAAAATATTGTTGTGTTTTCTCTGTACTGAGTAGCAAAATTACTGCCAGGCATCGTTTTAATTATATGTATGTTTTTATTTGTGACTTTCTCTGGAGCACTTACAAGTGGAGTGTACTAGAAAAAACGAAGGAAATACGGAAAAGGATAAATAATAGATGTCAACAAGAACAAGACAAAAATACGGGAACATAATGATACTAACAAATTTATCAAAATTTAACTGAAGAGATTGAACCATTAACGGCGCTGAAGTTAAATATTAGTTTTTCTTTTTACGTATAGAAGAGGTTAATGGCAATGAAAATCATTAAGGACAAGAGTACTTTTATCTTAATTTGACTTTCTCATTTGTTATCAGGAGATTCTAGCCGAACTCCTAAAACGAATTTATATCTCTTGATCAATTCCTTTAACTGTTTATTGAAAGTAACGTTCTAGGCCATCTTTTTTTAAAATTCACTTCATGATGATGTATCATCGAAAAAGAGTGATGTCATAAGGTCTCACTTGCCACCTTTTTTGAATATGTTTATGATGTATATTTTAATATAGTGAACTAATCTCCAAGCTTAATCTAAACTTTTTTCGAAGCAGTTCTGATTGTGTTATCGAACGGAGAAGGAAAAGATCGAACAGTCAAATGAAAACAAGAAACAAATATCACAAAATCATTATTTTAAAGCTCTAGTAGAGATCACACTGTCGTGCTTCTAACATTTCAATTTCGTTTATAATCTTTGATTCTTTTTCAAAAAGTTTTCTACATTTTTACGCACGAACAACTTCTACTCCAAGTGTATTCAAGGTGTTTGAAATCGTTTACACATTAAAGTGGATTATAATTCATGAACACTGTTAAGAAGTGTAGATTTATTTGTTTATAAAAAACTTGATAAGTTGATTTTGAGATGTTGCTCGTTTCTTTTCACCTTTCTGCATAATGGAAGAGTTTATTAAACATTTTAGTGCTTTCTTGTACCCAAAATTGCAGCGTTGACAGTTCTAATTAGCATATTTAGGTCATCTGTGAATATGTCAGTTAAAAACTCAATAGTCTATTGTGCGACATTCAAAATAAAATACTTTAAACTGGCAGAGACTTAAGCTAGTTCATTGTGATAGTACAATTGATATTGAAGATTTCTTAGCATTAAAATTGTTATAGAGAATTTGATCTATCACTTTTCACGATTGATTTCTACATCAAAATGTTTAACACTTTTTTGTAGAGCATTGAATAAGAAATCGCTTGGCAAAAAGAAAAACAAATTTCAACATGAGGAAATGACACAAATATTGATAAAATTCTGTATAAGTTCATTTATTCTAAGCCAACTGTTAATTGCTAGAGGATTTTCTTTTGATGAATAAGATGTTCTTGTTGAATCAGGAAACAAAATTTACCATTGAGTTGAAAAATTTGAACTTGTTGTATATTGTTCAATGTTATTCCTGATGTTTCTTCAATTAATACACTTGACTCGTGATATATGGCAATTATGTTTTGATTGATAGCATCCACCTATTGTCATATGTTGTTTATTAAGTCGATTTTGATTTTGATTAAATCCGTTATATCTTTCTTTTTAATAGAGAAGTAATATGTGTTGACCAGAGAAAGAGAAACAGCAAAATGAAAAGTGTCTAATCATCATGTATGTGCTAAAGGAAGTTTGTCAGAAATTTTAAAAAAAACAGAACGGAAAGAAAAAAGATTTTTTATGACGAAGTAAAAATTCTTTTTGCCATGTCATACTAACAATGCAAATACTTATTTTAAATAACTTGACAAAAAACAAATTACAGATATAACTAATATAATGCAATCTTCATATTTTTCATTTATGAATTATGTCCTTCAAAAAAGTCGTCGTGGTGACATAGAAAATGTAATTGATACTATTGATAAGTTTGGTTGGACTAAACAATGGTTAATGAATATTGGTGATCGAAAAGGAAAAATTCTTGACGATGCTATTCGAACAAGAAAACCAAAAACTATTTTAGAACTTGGTATCATTTTTTTTTGTTAATTTTTGTATTAACAACAGTCTATTTATTCTCATAGGTACTTTTCTTGGTTACAGTTCATTAAGAATGGCAGCTCAATTACCAAATGATGCATTAATTATTTCAATTGAAATCAATCCTGAATCAGCAAAAATAGCTCATACTATTCATAAACATGCTGGTGTAGAAAATCGAATAAAAATTATAGTTGATTCGACTGAAAATGTTATTCCTCATTTGAATAAAACATTTCATATTAATAAATTTGATTTAATTTTTATCGATCATGATGGTGCAGCGTATTTACCGGATTTTATGTTGTTGGAACAATATAATTTGATTAAATCAGGTACAATGATTGTCGCGGATAATGTTATCTATCCTGGTGCACCTAAATATTTGAAATATATTCGAAATAATCCAAATTACACAACCAGAATGTATGAATCAACAATTGAATATCGTGAAGATATACGTGACGGAGTAGAAGTATCTGTACGAAAGTAATAATTGTAAATTTAAATAAAATAAATAAAAACTTAATTACTAAAATTATTTTTTGTAAATACTGAATTCATAACTAAATAAGAACAATTTAAAATGATTTTATACGATTTACTATGCGTTGATTATGTCGATGAAGAGAAATGAACAAATGAGTAGACATTACGACAATCATGTATTGTCAGAACAAAAATTCCAATAAATACATGAACAAAAAAACAAAAACAAAGAGAGATAATTATTTTTCCTTTTTTGATGAATGTTGAATATATTTTAATCAAAATAACTTTAAAGAACCTTGAAATATCAATACGACCTTGATCATAATACTTCTACAATTTCATTAAACATTCATCTGTTAAGATTTTATGTTTCGGACGTTTTGGATTTGGAGCTACAATGTCATCTCGTATTCCTGCAAATTGATACTAAAGATAGTTTGTTTTTTTTGCAAAGTAAATAAATCGAAATGTAAATGTTTGGACATGGAGAATTTACATATTTTTTCATTTGAGAATATTGAATTTTCAAATATTTGATAGTATGTAATGTTATATTACATTTGGAAAATTTATTACTGTTTTTGTTCTAGCCATATATTGATTGTCGTAATGTCTACTCATTTATTTATTTCTCTTCTTCGAAATAATCAATGAAAAGTAAATTCAAGGATAGTAAATCATGCACACGCTTAGTCTGGATTTAGATTCGATCTGTAATTACGATACGTTCCTATAATGTAATTTAATTAGAAGTTTTATCTTATCTTTTGAAAGATTATTCTGATAACCTTTCAAAAGCTAGGACAAAATATAGAATTCACATACATTATAAGATTTGTTGGTAGTATAGATCGAATTGAAGCCTAGAACACAGTTGATTACCTTTTATGCTAATCGTAACCGTTGAGTGCGACTACGAGTCTCTTGAATAGTCACTCAATCGTATCTTCATTATATTAAATTTTAGTAAAAACCCTATACATTGATAATGTCAACTTTTTTTTCTTTGAAAAATTTAATTAGTATAATAATAATAGAAAAATATAATTTTCTCAAATTTCGAATAATTATTTTTGGAAGTTTCGCAAACAATACAATTTTTTCTTCGTACAGAGTCGTCATTGTTACACATGACTGCATTTTTTGGCTTGTATAACTATGATATACTGTTTTACTTATGCACACACATCGATAGGACATGTCATGCGACAGCATAACTATTATTCAATGCACTGTGTCACATTTTCTTTTTTCTTTCAACCTTGTTCGATAGTTGTTCACAAGTAAAAAGAAAAAGAAGCTAGCGACAAGTTTCTTTTTTCCTCATAGCCGTCCTTTTATTAGACATTATGTCAGAAGCAAAAGTTATAAAATCAGCTGATCAATTGCCCGTTATTCCTGAAACACAAATTATTGAACCAATTGTTCAATGTGGTGTTTTGTATTTGGGTTCAGCACCACCAAGTCCTGGTCGTCGTGGTCTTGATTCAATTCAAGAACCATTTTCACATCGATATCCTGTCGATGGAACAAATACAGCTCAAGGTATTTAGTTACAATATTACAAAGAAAAACTAAATATATTTTATTTTCTACGTCCAAGGTATTGATGCTGTACTTTCTATTTATGATAATGGTATTCAATTGAGCTTTGCTCGTCAACCTCATACAGTAATATTTTATCCAATATCAGCACTTATCTATTGTGCAAGTCTTCGTTTTTCTGTTGTTGAATATGATCAAGCATCATCAATTGATTGGCGTTTTGTAACATTGGATCCAACAATCAAAAATCAAAGCAAACATCCACCTTTATTTTGTTTTGTCGTACAACGTACACTAGTAACATCAGGTGATGAATGTCATTGTTTTGTAGCAAAAGATGATAATTCAGCACTTGCACTTGTTCGAACAATATCAGAAGTTTATATGAAAGTTAAACCTAATGTTACACCTATCAAATCACCTATTTTCTATCAGGTTAATGATTCTATTCTATTGATTTAATGTTAAAAGATTTTACTGGTTATTTTTCTTTTAATAGTTAGACCGTTATGGACGAAAAATAAGTGAAACAGGTGGAATTATTTATATATCACCAGCTATTGATGATGAATATCAATTGAATAAAATTACAGATCGTAGTAGTTCTCTATCATCAATAGATCGAAATTATTTATTAGATCCATCATCTGATGGTTTTTTCTATCGCACGGATGCAACTATTATTGAACAATGGCAATTATGGAATGATGTTGATTTAAATGAATCACGTCCACGTCCACCAGATTCACCATTTGGACTACGTCAAGGTCTTTATCATGATGACTTAGCAAATGAAATACATCAACATTTACATCATATGGATGATGAAGAAAGTTCGAGTTCTTCATCATGTTCTTCAAGTTCATCAATCAAATCTGATCGACACCGTCGTAAAGGACCAAATGCTAGACTTGATACAAATCAATCAAATGCAGCTAATTTACCTTCACAAACTAGTTCATTTGATCCATTATCAGTACGAAATAATATGGAAATGAAAAGGCCACAACAAACACCTATTGTTATTGAAAAAGTTGTACCTAATCCAATGATAACAATTCCTCAAAAACGTCCAAAATATATCTTAGAACAACCTCAAGAATCATTTGATTATTCTACTCCTGTACAAGAAACAAATGTTGACTATGCTGACTGTGTTTCACTTTCTGATAGCTATCAAATAAATGAACGAGGTGAAAAAATTACAAAAGAAGGAAATCGGATTTTGTTTATGGATGTTATTCAACCGAATCTGACGAATAATAAAATTGAACCACCATCTTACATACTTCAAAAATCTTATACAACTTCAACATCTAATACAATTCCGAAATCTTACATAAAACCGAAACCTTATACAACTCCAAAATCTTATATAATTCCAAAAGCTCATCCCCGTTCTCATCGGCGACGAACATCACATATACCAGTTATTGATCTTCAATCTTTGCAAAATTTATTTAATCAAAGAAAATTTAAACAACGACGAGAAAGTATTGATAGTGATGAAAAACAATTAAATGATTATCATTTAACAACATCGGATATGTTAGAAATAGTTGAAGAATATTTTGAAGATTATAAAGGAAGAAAAATTAAATTAAATAAACATGGTACACAATCAACACTTGATAATTTAGAATCAGTAAGTGAAGATGAACATCGAGAAGCAAATATTTCAAATCATAAAACTCATCGTCATCGTCAAAGTCATTCAAAATTAATTTCTGGTCCATTACTTAATTATGTCGAACGTTCTTCTATTAGACCTGTATCCAAACAAGCATCAGTCGAGCCAAATCAATCTAATCTATCTGTATTTCACAATCAACAAATAAATGAATATGAATCAAATATTTATGGAAAATCTGGAAAGATATCTCAAACAATAAAATCACCCACACCATCAACAAACCATCATGAAACTCAAACATCTAATAAATCGAATAATGTCGATGTAACGACGACTCAAGATTATATCTCACCATTTCGATATATGCAAAGTAGTGTTAATCCATTATTACTACGTGAATATCGTAAAGCATTTGGTGCAGTTTAATATAAAACATTAAAAAAGAACTATTTTTTTTTTCTTTGAAGTCAATAAAAAAAAACAAATATTCTAAAGTAATTCAAATTCTTCTGATGGAGTTAAATAAAAAGAAATTTTTCGTGAAAATTTGTTCATTGGAATTGTATAAATATCATATGTAGTCGAAGTTGGCATTGATAATGAATGATTTTTTTGAAAATTAATCTTTCTCGTCGTTAAAGTTTGTTTATTTCTTCGTTGAATTCGCCTTGATTGTTTATTTTTTTGTTTTTCTATTGAAGTACGATGACGAAAAGTTCGATCAAATGTCCATTGTCGCATATGTGAAGCATCAGATTGATCAATATGACGACGAAATAATTTTCTTACGATTTGATCACGTTTTTTTTTTAAAGATACTGTCGAAAATATACTTGAACTTTTAGATTGTTGTTGTTGAGTATCTTCATATGATTTATTTTTATTATCATTACACAATTCTTGACGTTTTCGTGTTCGATGTACTTTTATCGATTGAACAATAATGCCAATAATTAGAAAAAGAACAATACCAATAGATAATGCAATAAATAATTGTGTTGAACTTTGTCTAAATGATCCATGTAATAATTCATCTCTTCGAATATATATACAACCTTGACGTGGTGAATAAATATATGATGTAAAATAAGATTTAAAATCAATACAAATTTCATATTGACCAAAATCAAGATTTAATATATGTAAACTATTATTTAAATCAATAAGTTGTATAAAATTAGTTAAAGTATGAATATTAACGGTTGATAAAGATGCTTCATTGATTGGTCTTAATGTAAAACGATATGAATAAAACATATTTAATAGAGATTTTTCGATTGTAAACCAAACGAAAATAGAATGATCTCGATAATTATTTAAATAGCATACATATAAATTATTAGTAGTTATTAATTGAAAATGATTTTTTAGACAGATTTCTTCACGATCTTTTGTACGTTGTTTATAAATTATTAAACATGTTGTTAATAATAAAAAATTACTAGCGATAACAATGATAAATAGATTATTGTACATGATTATGACTTTAGTTTTTCGACAATTGATCTGCAGAATAAGAATAAGAATAATGATTTAAGAATTATTTCATTATATCGATATTTAAGTCAATCGTATTTGCATATTAATAAGGATACAAATGATAATCGAACAATGCAATGAACAGAGAAAGATTTATGTTATCTCATATCAAACTCTTACTTTTTATCCTTGAAATGAATATGTCAAGAGAATAAGAGATTGATGATTAAATCACATTTGAATATAATACATAAATCATAGAATAATTTAAATAAAAATTTTGAAAATAATAAAAGAATACATATTATAAATTGATGTTACTTCTATTAATAATATTTTTCTTATGAAAACAAAAATTATTCAACTTTTCAAATATCATGACAGATATTTTGCTTGATTAAAATACATGAGTAAACTTTTTTCTTCTTTTTTACAGTTTAATTTTATGTTTCTTTACTGTTGCTATTTCATTTTCATAACAAATTTTTTTTATTTTCGACATATTAATCAATATTTAACTTGTCAAATAATGTCTAGTGAAGATACTTATCCAACAAATACTCATGTTAGAAAATGTCCTGAGAACTTATGAGTACCGACTATGTTATACTGAATTTTTCTTGATTGCTACTATATAATTTTAGTGTACTTACATTAAACTTAAAAAAATACAGACGTACGCAATGAAAATTTCAGAAAACAATGAATATGAGAAGCACAGCTACTAGTTTATTTTTACACTTTATTAAAACAAATAATAGACCTAGAGAAATTTTCATGGTTATATAAGAAAGTGAAATATTTCTTTATTTTTATATAATAAAATAAGATTTTATTTCTTTATTTAAAAGAGATTAAAATGAGCAATCACTGTTGTCTTACAATTCTATATCTACTATGTATATTTTTAATAATAAATTTTCGCTATGATTTACATGATCAGTTGTCAATTAGTTAAGTTTGTAAATAAACTTGTATGTCAGTAAATATTATTAAACAATAGTGAATTAAAAAAAATAGATGAATATAGGAATTGAAATGTGTTATAGTGCGCTATCAAATATTTGATAGACATATTGAAATGCTCCAATTATATAATTCTGCAGCTGGATTTGAATTAGGTTCAACATTATTTATAAAGAAATCTATTATGAACAACAAAATAGAAAAACTAATCAATATTAGATTTTATGAATTATTTTCATAATGAAATATCTCAAAACAAATGATAGTTAGTATGAAAGTTTACAACTGTATACATTAAGTACTAACAACACCCTAGAGACAACCAATAGAACAATCAAAGATGATAGAACATTCAGGGAACATCATGTTCTCTAAAGATTTTTGACAATAGCTTCAATAATTAGTCAATAAAACGAGATGTTACATTAATCAATGAAAAAATATTAGCTAATGAACCAATAATAGATTTAATTTATATTTTCAATGATTGTTTAAAAACATTTTATATATAAATTCGTAATTGACAGTCCATTGCTCAACGCAATTTAAATGAATATAAAAATAAAACGTGGTTAACATTTAATTAATTCGAAAAATCATTTGATAGATCAACTCGAGCTAAACCAGTTTTGCTAGTTCAATAATTTCATTTTTACTTTCTCTTTTCTTATTTGTTCTTCAGAGTTTTTTATCCTCATTTATTCCAATTTATTTTTCTACTAATAAAAGCTCTATGTTATATTGATCAAATGTTTTTTTTCCAATAAATTTTTATAACTTTATTCTTTTCTTCAATCTTTTACGAGTAAATAGAATTTTATTTTTATAATATTAAACTAAAGAAATACCTAATTTTCTTCATTTTAATAATGCAAATTTCTTTATCTCTATCTCATAAAGTATAGATTGAGCATAGTAAAATGTAAGTAAAGAAAAATGAAAAAAAAAAATTATTTTATGGCTTACAAATAAACATGGGTTATTGATTACTACACAAAAAAATTAGATAGATATTTTTTGAATTCATAACTCTCGGTAATATCTAAGTAATTACTGTAAAAAAAAAAATGAATGATTTATCCATAGTATTATCGAGATGTCTTCATGGTTGATTTTTTAATCCAGAAGTTTTTTTCTAAATTTAGAAAATTAAATTTAAACCAATCTCTTTTTTTACTCCTTTGAAACAATTATTCAATCTCATAGGACAAGTTAGCAGTTTAAGATGAAATATCATTTTCCTTTTTTCAAATTCATCACTTAACAAAGTGTATATAAATAATAGACGATAAATTAGATAAGTCATTAAAATAATTTGTTTCTATTGTCCGTTATCTTATGTTATTTTACTTCTTTACACAACTTCAATCCATTTTTGTATATAAAAGTGCATAAATATTTTGCTAAATATTCTGCCAAAACAAACGAACATGACTACTACATTGAGTACTCACATCATTTCCCATGAGTAAGTCTGTAGAGAAAAAAAAAAAAAAAAAATTCGTCTGAATACTCGTCAGAGTAGACGAACAATATCCATACACATAAAGTTGCTCGAGTAATCGCTCTCAAGTAATTTGAGTAATGATGCTGGCAAGTCGTACTCGTTTGATGAGTATTTTCACTAGGGATTTAATTCTATTTGTATATCAACATTCATAAAAAACGACTGACGGACTCATATAATAGTTTTCATTTAATGTATAGCATAATCTTTTTTTTTTTTTGTTAAACTATCTTATCCTACAAAAAAGGATCGTTGAAGTTCAGTTATATGACTCTGTATGCATATGTATGTTATCAAATGTCTTTTGCTTATTTCTAACTCATATCTCATAATTGAATCAAAATGGTCTTAATTCAATACAGATTATAACAAGCACTATTGAATTACAACACATGGATATGAACGAAGAAGGTCAACAAGTTAGCAAATAAACTGATCTCTTTTAATTGTTGGTCAGTTACAGTAATTTGTATTGTCTTTTTTGTTTGATTTTCTGATCGGGTGTTAGTTTTTGTTTTGATGATATTTAATGTCATTTAATAAATTTATCATAAATAAACTGATCAAAGAGATTTACTAGAAAAGACAAATGAATTTCAAAATGATATATAGTTGAATAATGATCTTTTCTTATATGATAATACAAATGTAATAACATAACAAAAATAAGTCTTTGTGTCATTTCGAGAGATGAGCAGAAGACTATGATCTTTTGTAATCATTATCGAGAAAACTATCTTCTCTTGCGATTTAAACATAAATTTTCTTTTCACACATTGATAAACAAAATGATGCGTAAGACCTAAGTGAAACAATTTCCATTGTGAATTTGCATCTATTAATTTAAACTGTTTTTTACAATGTATTTATAATAATTTCAGCTTTGTTGTTGAAGATATTTTATATTTGTAAACTAAATAAGATGATGAATTTTAGTTTGTTTTTAAAAATTAGTAAAACGATTGATTAGTTAATTTTGATGAATATTATAATAATTATTAACTATTATTGCTAAATTCTTCAACTCTTGTGTTTTTAAACCATTTAGTAATTGATAATGTCTTATTAAGAATTAATTTCGTGTGTATTTTTAGATTCTTTTCCCTGATGACACAACCTGTCAATTGCAAATTCAATATATGAGTGCTTCGTTGTTTTTGTCAAACATTTTTTTGTTGATTGTTATTCGATATGCATAAATCATTTCTAGTACGAAAAAAGACGATAATCTTCTAACTGATTACTAAAAGAATTGAATATCTTTTGCTTATCTATTGAAGAAACATAATGATGTTATATTTTTTGTTATATGATCTATAATTAATGAAATTTACAAGCAATTTGCTTTTTTTCAAGTGAAATAACTTATCACTAGGACATATCTCTTAGTGTCAAAAAATAATAGTAAAAAATGAATAGTTTATCATAAGAATTGTACGACAAGAAAAATATTGATGCTTCGAATGCTGTAGAGAATTTTTTCTGATAATGGATGAATTATAATTCTATTTATGTCACTTGTGTAAATTACAAAAAAAAAACAAAATTTTTATTGTTTTCGATAATCTTGATTTTATCTATTTAAACAATTCTTTGCGTTTTTTTTTATATTCTATACTCAAAGAATGAGAATCTAATTTATTATGACATCAATAATCCAATTCCTTCAATGATATGCAACTATTAAATTTTGTAATAGTTCTTTATTTGATTAATGATTGCATTTACAAAACATGATCTTCTCTATATACCAAAAATTTATCGAAACATCATTTGTCACTGAAAATCATTGAAGAAAAACAACGATGTAGATTTTATACGACTTAGTATTCAAAATCTATTTTCATGATGATAATCATGTCTATCAAAATCGAAAAATGATCTTTCATAATAAAATGTTTTTTATAAATCGTAGGTGTATTGTGATTATTGACAGATTGCGTTTTTATTCTTACAAAGTAATTAATTCAAATATGTGACACTTTTGTTTTTATATCACGAAACATATTATAAAATGAGATTTAAGCATGTACTCATCTTGCTCTATCCTAGTTCTCTTTTTTTTTTATTTTGTTGAAGATGATTTTTAATGACGAGAGAACAAAGTTGTTTCGACGAACAATAAAAGCTTAGAAAAAAAAAGAGATAGTCAATTTTTCTCTCTTTTTCCGACCAATCCGTCTTGCTGTAACAATTATTGTGATGAATAGTCGAAAGCCACCATGATGATAATGAATGTTACGCATAGCTTTCTTTTTCCTTCTTTTGTTCATTCTAGTCGGAAGTTTTTTTTTATTTTGTTTTATTCATACGAACACAAATTACCAATGTATGCTGATTTCTCTTTTTTCTTTATCTACCCACTTAGCAAGTCTCTCATTAAGAGGATAAGAAGCAAAACTATAGATTGATTTTCTTATCTTACTTCAGATATATATAAATATGTATGTGTCTAATAGAGATATATTTGATAGTATTAGCATTTTTTCCTTTTCTCTTCAATTGTTCATACTATCGTTCGAATGATGATAATAAAGACAACCAATATTTCATTTTATTACTTTTTTTTTTTTATTCAATAAAATTTATTTCAGATAACAATTTAATAACACAAGTTTACATTTAATGTCAGCAGCGTTTGCATCAAGCAGAATCTCATTAGTCATGGTTCAAGTCAGTCTTCTTATATTGGGCATGTTCGGTAAATATAAATATAGATTTCTTAGCTTTGTTTAGCGATTAAGATCTTTTGTCAACGTGAGAAAAGGAAAATGACTTCCGTCAAAAAGTACTTGTACGATTCTGAAATAACATATTCATTTCTTGCATCAATTAACTCGTCATCTTGATTTGTTAATAGACCATTTAGAAAATTGTTATGCCTCTTGAGCGATAGAGAAAATAAAATTCTCTTGTGAATAAGATCATTATCACGATATTGACAATCGAAAAAAGAAAAGGCCTCTTACATTTATCATATATCCTGTTTTTCTCTCATGTCAAAAGAAAATGTCTACATATATTTCTTTTCAATAGATTGATTGGAGAAAAAAAAAATTCTATAGACACATATTCGATTTGTCTACTCGAAATTTAATGAGATTCATTGTGCCTTATAATCATCTCGAATTGTTTGAATGCAATTCACGGAACCTTTTTTACTACTCATTTTTCTTTTTTCTCATGGATAAAAATTTTATAATATTTTACGTATTATGCATCTTCGTATATTTTCGTTTTAAGTAGAAAATAATGGAATATAGACATTTTTTATGATAAGATTAACGGAGATGTTAATCGCTACGGCATTCATTCTTGGCAGTTATGTTATTATTTAATCAAATGACATCTAATAAATATGCCAAAAACGTAGCATCGAGAAGTTTTAATATGAGGTCACAATGAATCATCAACTTTTGAATACTATGCTTAAGTTAAGCTCTTATTTATATTAGTCTTTGCTTTATTAAATACTTAAGTCTTTTGAAAAGTAATCATCGAGAATTATTTTTAGGCTTATTAATGTCTTCAGATTAAAAACAACATGTCATTGCTTTCTTCAATTTTTCTGTCATTTCGTCTAACATGAAAACAAAATGCACTATGGGTCATATTGTACAAACCTAATATTACCTAACGATTTTGATTTCAACAAAGTTTTGAATCTATTAAGTTATAAATGTTGTTTATGAAAGTTTGAAAATTTATGTAAACAAAATAAAGATTGATAATGATAATGAAAGATATGCAAGGGTTAGTTTTTAATGATTTCTAGATTCGTCTACATTAATGACTATTAGTTATAATAGTAAATTCATAGTTTGAATAAGACACTCTTGTTTTGAGTTGTGTCATCTGTTTAATGGAGTCTGTCATCTTTTCCTAATCTCGAAAAGTTTTTCATCCGAGAAAAAAAAAAGCGATGTCACTTCATCAATCTGCCCAAGGCGTTTTTAGATTAAATGTATACAAAATATTCTCATAAATATTGCTTGAAATTTTAAATTTATTTTTTCTTTAGTTATCGGTAATTGGGCAGCGCCATCACTTGACGAACGTCAAGAAATTTATCTTGACACATGTCAAATGAGCTGTGGTTCAGTGAGCAATAATGATGAAGCAGAAGAATGTCGTGAAAAATTTTGTCCTAATTATGTTACTTATTTATTAACAGGTTTAACAAACATCAATTCCAAGCCTAGTCTTGCATCAACTCATCGTAAAGAAGTAGTAGATTTTTGTGCTACATGGATTGTTCATTTAATTGATCAAGTTGGTTGGCAAAATCGTATTCAACTTAATCTTAATGATTGTATCTGTGCTGCTGGCAAAGATTGTCTTGTCAAATAGAAAATATCCAAGCAAATAAGAAATAAACTATTTCATAAATAAAAACTAATTTTTGTCATTCATCCTAAATATTTTTTCTTCTATGAGTTGAATTATGTTTAAATAAAGAAAAAATTGGCATAGTCATATTGCGACATCTGGGGATAGATAGTTTATTTTATTTTTGCCCCTTTACAACACCAATTAACGAATGAACCGTTGTTATGGTGATTCATCATATATACATATAAATATATTCAATTATATGTTAGGACTTTTATTCATTTGTAGACGTGAGTATTGAAAGAATCAAAGATGAAAATTGAAGAAGTAAAGAGTACTACAAAAACACAACGTATATCAGCGCATAGTCATGTTAAAGGATTAGGTTTGGATGGTGAACAACGAGCTATACGTAATGCTAGTGGTCTTGTTGGTCAAGAACAAGCACGTGAAGTTGGTTCTTTTATAACATGCTTTTGTTTTTTTCTTAAATCGAATATTAATTTATTTTATAGGCAGCGGGTATTGTTGTCGAATTAATTCGTCGAAAGAAAATGGCTGGTAGAGCTGTTCTCCTTGCTGGACCACCTGGAACAGGAAAAAGTATGTTTTATAGAAAATTTCTAAGCATTGTGTAATTGTATACAGGATAGAAACCTTTCAAATATTCGTCTTCTTTTGATTTTGGACTAGATGAATTATATAGATTTTAATAATCTATGAAACAATAAACTCTTTTGATTGAGATTTTTATCGTTAGCAATATTTCAGTCGAAATTTTTACTCTTCTGCGCACTTGTTACGGCCGACAATATGTATGAAAGATCGCTTGCTTAGAATCATAAGATTTATATAATGCACATAGTCTAGATTGACAAAAAAAAAAACAATTGTAATTTTTATATCTGATTAGCTGCTCTTGCTTTGGCCGTTGCACATGAACTTGGCTCTCGTGTTCCATTTTGTCCAATGGTTGGTAGTGAAGTTTATTCAACAGAAATTAAGAAAACTGAAGTATTAATGGAAAATTTTCGTCGTGCTATTGGATTACGAATTAAAGAAGTAAAAGAAGTTTATGAAGGTGAAATAACAGAAATGACACCCACAGAAACCGAAAATAGTTATGGTGGTAAGTTATCAAAAACAAAACAAATATTTCTCTTGTAAAATTCTTTTTTTTTCAATCTATAGGTTATGGTAAAACTGTTAGTCATGTTGTTATTGGTTTACGTACAGTTAAAGGTGCAAAACAACTTAAACTTGATCCATCAATTTATGAAACATTGCAAAAAGAAAAAGTTGAAATAGGTGATGTCGTTTATATTGAAGCAAATTCCGGAGCTGTTAAAGTATGTTTAATAATAATTGTTTAAAATGAGATAGAAAAATCTCCTTGTTTTCTAGAGACAAGGTCGATGTGATGCTTATGCAACTGAATATGATCTTGAAACTGAAGAATATGTTCCATTACCAAAAGGTGATGTTCATAAGAAAAAAGAAGTTGTACAAGATGTAACATTACATGATTTGGATGTTGCTAATGCACGACCACAAGGTGGACAAGATATTCTATCTATTATGGGTTCATTAATAAAACCTAAAAAAACTGAAATTACTGGTAAGACTTCTAATGAAAAAAAAAAAAAGAAATCCAATTTTGAAATTTTAGATAAACTTCGTCGGGAAATAAATAAAGTTGTTAATAAATATATTGATCAAGGTGTAGCTGAACTTGTACCAGGTGTTTTATTTATTGATGAAGTTCATATGTTGGATATTGAATGTTTTACTTATTTACATCGAGCATTAGAAAGTCCACTTGCACCAATTGTTATTTTTGCAACAAATCGAGGACGTTGTCAAATACGGTATGAAATCATGCTTTTATTTAATTATATAATTGAAATTTTCTGTATAGAGGTACAGATATTCTTTCTCCACATGGTATGCCATTAGATTTACTCGATCGAATTATGATTATACGTACACTTCCTTATGGAATGGAAGATATGATAGACGTAATTTTTTTGTTTTTCTTTTAAAAATATTTGAAAATTCTGTTTTTAAATTAGATTCTTCGAATACGTGCAAAAATTGAACATATTGATATAACAGAGGATTCCTTACAAGCACTTTCTGAAATTGGAAATGTATCAACATTAAGGTACAAAAAAAGTTTATTTCTTTTCCTTTTTTTTTCAAAGGAGGCCAGTCGGCTTTGGCGGTCTGTCCTGAATCAGACTCTCTTATATGTAGTTTTGTAGAGTAAATTTCAGCGCATCTAATGATATATAGAAGAAATCAAGTTTTATGAAAATTATCTCACTCTAAGAGTTGATACATTAATTATAGTGCTTGTGAAATTACTATAGGATACTTAAAGACATTGTAATTCATTGGATATAGTTACAGATGCTTTTCAATAATCAATAGTTTTCATCATTACTTTCTTCATAATTAAAAAAAAAACGGTCGCTTTTCTTCAGTTCTAGTCTATTTCTAGCATATATGATATAAAAGTGTGGTCAAATCTATGCCACAGAACAAGTGAGTAACAATGTGAAATTTTCTCAAACATCGCAAAATATCAAGCTCGATATGTTTCACACATAACATCTTTCGGAGGCGTAGGATCCTTCATAAACGGAAAAAATATTTTCGTCTCCACATTTTTGGACGGGAGTACAGATATAGGATTGCACGAAAGAGGTCTGTTATTTTTATTACTACTTTTTTCAAAACTTGATTCTGACTATCCAGGTTTGATTTTTGCATGAAACTCTATGATAGTCTGTAAATACCTCAGATTGATTTTAAAAAGAAATTTCTTTCATATTCCCGCACTCCCTCTAGCGATCTGTAGGCCAAAAAATTTCTTTTTTCATTTACAAATGAGTTAGTCATATCACCTCATTAGGGATTTTGCATTGATTATTGCTACCTGAGAGTTTTGAATAAGAGCGTTAAATATTATTTAAATATCGTCAATATACTACCCCGTTCATTTAGGAAAAGAGGCTTTTCTAGAGGACAATCTGCCAATTTAACAATGAGTTTTTACTTTTCCAAAATATGTCAAGCGTGAAACATATAGAGCTCGATTGTGTGCAAATTTTCTGAAAGTTTCACATTAGTACTCATTTGTTCTGTAACATCGAGTTGAACATACTGTAATATCATATACTCAAGAAATAGACTAGATCTTAAGAAAAAGGCACCATTTTCAGGTATGAAGAAAGCAGTGATGCAAATTATTGATTATAAAAACAAAATTTGCATATGTTGGTCTTAGAATATCATATGAATTACAATGTCTATGAGAATCTTATAACATCCTTCAAGTACTATTACCAATGTATCGATCCTTCGCACATGAAAATTTTCGTAAAACTTGAAATCTTATATACCATTCGATGTGCTATGATTTACTTTTACAAAATTGTATATTTCGCATGCTGGCTTAAGATCGACCACCATATCCAGCGAAGTCATTTTCATAGAAAAATCTCTTATGTTTAGATATGCTGTACAATTAATGACACCAGCAAATATTCTTGCTCGTATTAATGGTAAAGATCAAATAGAAAAAGAAGAAATTGATGAAGTACACGACTTATTTCTTGATGCTAAATCATCGGCACTATTACTTAAGCAAGAAGATGCAAAATATATGAAATAATGAATAAACATATTTGTCTATGTTACACATTGTTTAAAAAGTAATTTGTTGAAAAAAATAAAACAAAAAGTTTTGATAAAACAATAGCAGTTGTTGACGACATAATCGATATCAATGGTGATAATAATCTAGAAGCTAAAAGAAACTATTTGCATATATAAACTGAATAATGAATAGAAAAATCGATTTACCATTAAGTGCTTGTGCATGACAAAGTATTGTAAATATAAAACAAATTAAAACAGCGTAATAATCACGATTATCAGGACTCCATATAAGTAATGGTAAGACAAATAATTGACCGATACTTGAAAGAACAAGTGCACGGAAAAGAAGGATTGATCTATAGAACAAACAATACAAAACAAAATGTGCATATGAAACGCTTATGTTTGTATTAAACTATTATTAGAAGTATAAATCAATGTATCAATCGGTAGCAATTAAAAATTTTCAATAGACGTTTTTGTAAATTTTCTTAGTACCGTGAAACTTGGAAATGAGAAAAACAGAAATTCACGATAAGAAACTAGACAAAAAAAATATATATTGTAGACACTGACTTTGGACGTCTATAGTCTATTATTGCTTTTCTCATTATTTTTCTATCGGTTTGTATCTATAATGAGTAGTAACAGTGATAAATAATATCTTAAAGAGATTAACTAAAATATTCAGAAAAATAATAATTATACAACTAAAAGTCTGTGAACATGACCACAGCTGCTTCATTGTCACTGAATGTGTAGATCAAGAAATATGCTCAGTTATTGCATTTATCAATTCAGAAAATAAGAAGGTCTTTGCTTTTATCACATAATTATCTTTTCAAATTGAAATAACTTAATGAATGTTCAGCAAAAGCTCATACAAAGGATTAAAAAGAATGTATCTTGCTAGTCAGAATTTTTGTAAAGCACTTTTTGACCATCTTTTCATCCGACCTTTCTATAATTAAATAACAAAAAGATTCCTGAAAAACTGATTCCGAATGTTGAAAATATTTCAATATTCACTATCTATTTTTATGTCTCGGCGACGGCTCAGTCCATTGGCATACATCTCTGACTATTAGATTCGAAAAACTGTCATAATTCTTTGACATGTTGCTTTTTAAAGCCTTCTCTACACAACTCTAGTTTCTGCCGAAACGCAAATGCAAACATATACTTTCATATTCTTGTACTAGATTTATCTAGTTCTTCAAATTTATCCTTACCACAAAAATAAGTTCTCATATCGAAATGATTAGCAAGATTTATAAGTTTTTGAGATTGCTGCTAAATTCTGAATTAATACATATTGTTATGATTGTATATCTATCAGAGTACATTTCGTA